TGTGATCTTACTAATATTATAAATGCAAAAGTTTAGATAGATGGAAAAAAGTTTTTTAGAGTTTGTAGTCTAAACGACTGAATAGATTTCAATAAAATTTGGTTTAGATGTAGAGGATAATCTGGAAGGACACATAGGCTAATTTACTTTTTCATTTTTTAATTCCACGCGAACGGAGTCGCGGGCGAAAACAAGTTTTGTATATTGTTGAAACGCTCCCCGTTTGACCATATAGCTGCTTTCGCTATTTTTTCAGAGTTAAATGTAACTATTAAGCTTGATAAACTAAATTATTTAAACTGTCTTGTGACTTTACTCTCTGTACCTAACTCATAGTCTCCCTAGCCGGGAGTCTGGTCAGGACCCCAAGCATTGCGTCATGCCCTTCAATGATAACTCGCAGATAATTTAAATTTAAGTACAAACTATTTTACTATAGAACTAGTGATACAGATTCCGATTATATGGCGCAATTATAATTTTCGCGGTGGCCGGATTATTTATCATGGTTCGATTTTTCTTTAATATCACCCACATTTGCCGTACAGTTTTAAAGCATTGCTAAGGTGGACCTTAAATGTAAAGATTAAGAACAAGAAGGACACGAAGTTCCTTTCTCAATTTCATTTCCCGCTACCCGAAATCCCGGTGAATCTTCCTTGGATTCGAGGGATTGGAAATACGGAATTTGTAACGAAAATAAAATGACATCGAAAACTATCTTTTTAAATTGCAATTTTAAAGCAGCCATCTTAGTAGTATTTAAGCAATTAGTACTCAACATTGCAAGGACTTTCAAGGACATGACCTTTATGAATAAGTTGCTAAGCAGATAAATCCTGTTTGAAAGAACACGGCGCAGTAAAACATTCTGCGCAGTTGCCATCATTACGATTACAAAAAAAACAAACAGACGTCAATGAGATTTAATTACTTTATTAATGGATATAAATGAAATTAAAAAAGTATAAAAATTGCTGCGCTTACTTTGTAGTACTAATTACAGAAGTATGGAGAAATTAAATTTAAACTCTTTTATAGATTTTTGGACAAATGTGTCCGAATTCGAATTGCGAACATCTAAGAACAACTTCGTGTAGAGGAACTGCGTAAGGTCCCTTTATGTCGTTTCCTTAAATTGTTTTATACGGCGTGTGTGAAATTTCTAGCCGCATTAATTTCGGATAAATAAATAAATAATGTACAAAGGGGCACGATTGTAAACGTTCTAAGAACATGAAAGGTTATCATTTGTCGCGTGTCGTAATTATGATAACATAATCTTTGCACTTAGGATCGTTATATTATTGCTAATAAGACCATTATCTTATTTAGAAGAGTAATTAACCTTTTTTACAGTAAAGAGGGCAAAGTCATGTTATATCTAGGTGCTTTCTTGTAAAATCATCTATAAAGTGATTAAAATTGAAGTCTGTAGGTATGTTGCATGGCAAACATTTTGTAAACATGATGTATACGTTACGATGTTACGTTCCCGTTAATCTTTGAAACGCTGGACTCACTTTCAGCGGTAGCAAATGCACGTGGGGACTTTATAGGCAGTTTTTTTTCGAAGTCGCAAGCTACCGCTAGTTAATATATCTCCAACGATTTACACAATAGATTGGATTTGCTTTTAGTACCGTTTTTCAACTATTTCATTCCTATGAATTTAAGATTGCATGTTGCGAATAATTTTCCCTAATTACTTTTACTTATTACCTTATTATTATTTTTTTGTTACTTTCATATTTTCATTAAGCAATTAATTTGCAATTATCTTATAATTAATATCCAAATGGGTAAATAAAAAACTGCATAATTGATTTATTTTTATATTTATTACAATCAAATATTATATTTATTATTATATTTCAAACAGATCGTCGTCAGATTAGCATTTGCTAACCAAAAAATCTATTTACACAGAATATTCTATTACTAGAAATGGCTTCACGTAACCTAAATGTTACTAATATCACTCCACATCACATACAATTTCAAATATATGCTTAGATTTATAATCTATAGATACATAACTTACTAACATAAATGCGAAAGTTTAGATGGATGTTTGTTAGATATTGTAGCTTAAACAGCTAAACGGATCTCGATGAAAGACAGATGTAGAGGGTAGTTTGGAAGAACACATAGGCTACTTTTTTTTAATTACACGCGGTCGGAGTTACGGACGAAAGCTAGTAGATGCACAATCTATAGCACAAATATAGGCAAAAAGGTTTTTTACGGATGAAAAAAATCTTCATTAGTAGTCTATATTTTCTATATTTTTGACAAATTCCAACGAGACCCGTTTTAAAGATATGTGCTAACAAACATCCATCCATCTAATCATTCGCATTATTATTATTAAAAAAGTGAGATAGAATTCACCATTACGTGTCAAATGTCTAATCGAGAGTAGATTTTCGAAATTTTATTGTAACAGACAGAAGTCTCACTTTAGTAGATATTGTATCTATAGATTGTATATCTATGCGTAACTTAATTACACTTAAAATACCTAGATAATATTAAATCTGGCAATATTTCTTTTTTTTATAATCGAAATACGTGTGCACAATTAAAAAGTGATTACAGATAAAATATGTACATACTTTTATTCGAATTTTAAAAATATCATATAATATCTGTGGCAAGAAAACTAACCTAAAACAGATTAAAGCTGTTTCCTTTAAGATGTACAAAGATAATTAAATTCAAAGAAGGAATTTGTAGGAATGAAAAAGAGATAAAATTGAGTAAACCAACATTTTCGTTGCAATCAATAAAAATAATTTAAAAAATCATAGGCCGTTTTTGGTGTAAGATAAATTATATGTAAAAAATTCAAACTTGTACTGCATTTCTAATTCCTACAAATTCCCTTATAAAATACATATTAATAGCTAATTTTAGACTTAATTTTAGGAATTGATTACTACAAAATGTTTATTTAATACATTTAACGTTTAAGAACTTTTATTTTGGCGCGTTATTTAACTGTCAGAATTGGAAAAAGCTTATAAAACGGCGATGTTAAAAAATAGGCCTAGTAACGTTATTTGTAAGTAATTATTCGTATTTAAACTATTTTACTATAATATTATTATAATACGATATTTTAAAAAGGCCTCCAGTTTAATAACATCATTTTACAAAATCTCTACCGATATTATATCTGTATTTTTGTAATTAAAATAACTCAAAAACTACTGCGCCGATTTTAAAAATTCTTTCACCATTAAACAAGTAATTTATCTGTGAGTAACATGGGGTAAATTTTTTTAATTTAAAGCAGGCGAAGTCGCGAGCAACAGCTAGTTCATTGAAGCAAATCTTTTTAGATAACTATTTTTTAGTATTAATTATAAATAGAATAGAGTAAAGATTAAATATTTTTACGCTAGAGTTAAAATTAAAGTCGAAAGTATTTCGATTTCAACTAATTATTAGGCCGGTTACTACTCGTTGTATCGATATCTTAAGTTACTTTAATTGACAGAGATAATATAAGAACTATACAGACGTAAAATCTAATATTTAACATACGCAACAACTAACAATCTTTTTACATATCAAGCCTTTCTAAAATTTCAAAAAAGAATCACTTTCAATACTTTCATAATGTGGCAGAGGAGCAATCGGCCACCTAAATTCGCCGAAATAGCGAAGCTACCCCTATATATTAACTGTTCCCCTTCCCATCCTTACCTTATACGAAAAAGGTAGGAAGAGAAAGTGGATTAAACGTGATCTTCAATACGTGACAATAAAATGAAAATTTTCATGCGAGAATCGTAAATTTTTCTGAGATGAAAAGGCAACCTTACACACACAGTAAACTATTTATATTTGAAATATGATTCAGATCCGATCGTAACTACGATCCATAACGAAACATAAATATATGTTAACCAGTAGTTACTGGTCACAAACAATCATATATATTTTTTTTTAATCTATACTTCTATACTATTATGATAAAGCGTAAACACACACTTCTTTGTTGCCTAAGATGTCAGCAATTACAGCATATTTTTGAATAATCCCTTTTTAATAAAACGCCCTATACTTACGTCACGCTTTAGGCTATATATTTTCACGCCTTTAAACTTAAGGGGCAAATATTTTGGATAAAAATCCTAATGTGGGAAAGAGACCATAAGTTGCTGCCAACTTGACATTTGATGATAATTTGACAAATGTAAACAATAAAATAAAATTTTCATAATTTCATGCGGATGAAGTCGCGTGGGAACAGCTAGTATTCTATACAACCTATCTTGTACATAGACGTATATAACTAGATCTTATAAAATGTAGCCTAGTTAACATTCCAAATATCCTAAGGGTAGGTAAAGTAATAAAATTTAAATTACCCTGGATACACGTAATTATGCAAAAACAAGCATTTTTACTTTATTGTATAAATTTAAAACAAGTACCGAAATAGTAACAATATTTTTTATATTTGACAACTGGCCAGAAATAAATTCGTATTTTATACAACGCTCAATGGTTCTTGAAACTTTATTATTTTATTTAATAATGGTGTTTATTATTAATTTACAATTATTAGCAATCTATACTTGAAATTTTAAACATGCTTAATATTAGAAAGATTTAAATTAAAATTATGCTTATTACTGAGTTATGATATGTATTGATGTTGGAGCAAATTAGATTTTATTTCAATACGCATAAAGACTATATCATGTCGTTTACAGCTTTAATTCCTAGACACATTTATCGTAAATAATCTCTATAAAATAGGAAATAAGATTATTATTATTTACATTTAGTAATAATAAATAGATTCATGTTTATTTTTAAGTTGTAATCCACAAGCCTTACATATAATTATTGCCTAAACTTTTTTAAATTATTATTTATTATTCTAAGAGAAAGAATTATTATCCTCATTATATTTTTAATCGGAATCGATAGTAAACTTTTAATTGAGAGAGTTTTAAAAATATTTTAATTAGAAAAAGACTAAAAATTGGAAGCCAAAAAATTAGTTGGAGGATAAAAGATGTACTTGAAAATTCTATTACTCAAAATATAACTTTATTTACTTTCAATCTTAGGTGATCAATCGGTGGGAAAATATTAAAATCGTGCAATTTTATAGGAAAATTCATAATTTTACACTCATGTCAAATAATTCCGAAAAAGTATCAAGACTGTTGAATCTAATTTTTGATATATACCAATGTACATTTTAAAATTATGTACATACAAAGAATTATTGAATTAAATACTAACATTATATCTAATTTAAAATGTACAATTTTCTTACAATTTTCATAGGATAAATTCTATACCAACAAAAGTATACATTCATAATTTTATTAAAAAAACTATAAAATATACAAAGACCATTTCAAAGTACAATTTATACGAAAAACTTTATAAAGTAAGTCTTCAAATTTCACAATGTATCATAACCTGACGGTGACGTCATCGTCCAGGGTCGTCTCCAGCTCGCAGCACGACGCCAGCTCCTCGAAGGACATGCCGTCCAGGGTCATGGTGATGGAGGAGATGCTTTTGAACAGCGCCTCCTGGTCCAGGTCCTCCGGCAGCTTGGTGAGGAACTGCGCCGCTGAGATGAAGTCCATATCTTTCAGCTCGTCTTGGTAAAGATGGAGAATGCCTGCAAACGAAGAGATGGAGAAATGAACAGTACAATCTCACAAGACGATTTTCATTAAAGATTTTATAAATTTAATCTATGTTTTTTTTGATGTATTTGTTTCAATTTTCATTACATAGGCTCTTACAATCTGACAGATGTTTGTGTCTGAAGTTTAAGCCCGGTGTTACATATTTAAGTGTCGTTAAGTAGCCATTAGGCAGTGAAAATGTAAGTTCGTAGTAGCTAAACGGATCTTGCTGAAATCTTACTAATATTATAAATGGCATATTTAGAAGGATAGATGGATGTTAGAAGATACCTCTATAACGCCTCAACAGATCCAAATAAAATTTCTGGAGGAACACACTTTTGTTTTTTTTTTTGACAGCGCGAACGGACTGCTGAGTAAAAGCTACCTTAATATAGATATACAATAGTTTAGAAGAATTGTAGTTTTTACAAGTTTAAAAATTCCGTAGGTTTAGCTATAAGAGTTAGTTACCAAGTGCGGCATTGAAGAGAAACGTGTCCCCATCCCTGAGGAAGACGTCCCAGAGGCGGCAGGCGGCGTCCAGCGGCATGGCCTTGGCGAAGGCGGTGTACAGCCACTCCACCAGGTACAGCTCCGGCGCCACCAGCTCCGCCAGCGCCGGCAGGTTGTGCCGCAGCAGGCGCCCGTACGCCTTCCACAGCCGCTAAGGAAACGACACAGATCACCAGGGATGGACAAGGTGGGGGCAAAGCAGCTGCCCCCCCCCATCCCCTACAGTCGAATAAACCTAATTGTGTGCGTAAGTCATTGTAAAGATTTTTATAGTAGAAATTTAGACTGCTTTCGATTCTCTTTTGCCTTGATGGAAGGGCACAATTTTACACAAGTGTTACATAAATATTATGACCTTGAGAGATTTTAATTAAAGTATTCGATGTAATTTCAGTTTTCGTAGCCGTAGCCACCCCAATTCTTAGCTTCTTAACATTCGCTTGTATTTATCCCTTTCCCGCATCGTATTTTTTTTCTAATATATTTACCCACTAAGTTCGATAGCCTGAAAATATGTAACCTAAAGCGTGTCGTAAGTACAGGGCTTTTTATTAAAGAAAGAATTATTCAAACACATACTATGAATGCTGACATTTTACGTCACAAAGTAATGTGTTTACACTTTATTATATTATTATAATATTAAATTATTATTATAAAATAATGTTGTTACCTGCATAGCTGCGCCGTCCCGTGTGAAAGCTGCGCGCAGCACGGGCCCGTCCAGTAGATTGGCGAAGCACACGAAAGCTTGCGGAGCTTCCATGTTCAGTATTAACACCGCCGCGATAAAAGACATACCCTGTAATATAATTATACTATTTCAACTATCAAAAACTAAAAAAAAATCCCACAAAAACCATTTGAACGCTATTAAATTTATGGTAATTGGACTAACTTTAAAATATACTATAAGATAACAAACCAAAATTGAAATATTTCAGACTAGTTATCGCCCGCGACTCCGTTCGCATGGAATTAAAGAAACGAAAAGTAAGTAGCCTACGTGTTCTTTCAGACTAACCTCTATCTATGCCTACTTTCATCGAGATGCGTTAAACCTTTTAGGCTACAAAATCTAACAAACATCCATCCAAACTTTCACCTCTAAGGTGGGCGTACACCTTAGACTAAAGTATCGCACAACTGCTGTGCGATTGTCGATTGTTTCGTAGCCTTCAACTGTTTAGTTTCACAACTAAAAATCGAGTAGTATGCGCACCTTTATATAAGCTCTTAGGAATCAAAACGAGACAAAACAGTTGTGCGATATTTTAGTCAAAGGTGTGCGCACACTTATATTACCACATGTCACTTATAATATAGGCATATGTAATTTATACAGTGTATGGAAAATTCTGGAATGAAAACAATGTCATTTATTTATTTCGTTTTTGGTGTATTTTTTTTGGTATGAAATAAAATAAAAAAAATTACTTGTATATATCCTATATCAGGTCTGTAACAGACGTAGGCCGCCAGCAGCTCGTGCAGCACGTCGAAGTAGGGCCCGCCCGGCTGGAAGATGCACAGGTGCGGGAACGTGCGAGCTATGTCCAACTGGATCAGCTCCATTGAACATTCGTCGTTATACTCTAATAGGTTAGGGTTCGATTTGGAACAACACTTTTTCGGGCACGTTTCAACGTTTAGAGTTTTCAAATTCTGCTCACTGAAGTTTCTCGGCATACCTAACCGCGGTTTCTCATCCTCCTCCGATTCAAATTTATCCGATACTTGATTATCCTCTTTTGATAAACGATCCGATTCCTTATTTTCCTTCTCTTTACAACCGCAAGCTTCTCTATTCTTGATTTTTAACTTCTTTCGTCTCTGCTGCGCTTCTAGAAGCTTCTGTTTAGCTTTCGCGACAAAGTCCTGGTACATTTCGGGGCTGATTTTTAGTTTGTTCTCGATCGCCAGTTGCCATACTTTGCCGCGAATTGACGGCGGTAGGCCGCTCCACCAAAGTTCTAGCGTACGCTTGGAATTTTTCCTGTAACATAAATTAATTTGAAATCATATTATTAATTATTAATATTATAAATGCGAAAGTTTAGATGGATGGATGTTTGTTAGAGTTTGTAGCATAAACGGCTGAACAGATTTCTAAGAAACTTGGTAGAGATGTAGAGGACATTCTGGAAGAACGCTTAGGATACTCACTTTTGTTTTTTTTAATTCCACGCGGACAATTTCGCGGGCGAAAGCTAGTCAAAGTCTGTATTTTCAAATATGTTTTGCATATAGGTACTTCGCATACCGAAGATCGTCATTTATTATGACGACAGTTACTGCTGTAATGTAAACACAGCTATGGCGGGGTTCATCGCTCGACTCAATGCACGGCGACTTGCGACTGATGTACTTATTACATGGGCCAAGAAGTAGTCAATTTATGGCTTATATTAAATAATCAAGCATATCACGATAGAAACAGAATAAACAAATTTATAGTGAGAAGCTGTGTCTTAAATCTCTTAAAAAAACTCAAATCATTTGAAGAAATTTTACTATATAATTAAAGACCATATCTATATCTATACTAATACTAAATGTTGCTCGCGACTTCGTCTGAGTGAAATTGAAAAAAAACATAACCTATGTTACTCACAGATACGCTTTTAACGGTGAAAGAATTTTTAAAATCTGTCAAGTAGTTTTTGAAGTCTTTCACTACATACGAAAATACAAATCTTTCCTCTTTATATTAAGAATATATTTATAAAAATATTTCACCGTTAGAAAGATAATCTGTGAGTAACATATTACTAATATTATAAATGCGAAAGATTAGACGGATGGATGGATGTTTTTTAGAGTTTGTAGCCTATACGGCTGAACGGATCTTGATGAAATTTCGCATAGACGTAGAGGATAGTCTGGAAGAACTTTTGTTTTTTTGAACTTCACGCGGACGAACGATAGTAAGCTACATTTTCTATCACGCGGTGGGACTCGTCAGCAAGAAGTTATCTTTCATATATGACACTAACAATTTCATTTAGCTTTACATCTACGATTATTTTACAAGTTTACTCACATGTTATGCCAATCAGGCAATATAGTACGTGACCACTCGTGTGCGTGTGTCGCGAGACGTTCCTCGTGTCGCAACGCGTGGTGCACGCGAGCTAGCCGCGCGGCCGCCTCGCGCTCCACGCGGCGTCGCGCCGCCTGCACCATACGAGCGTGCTCCAAACGATGCCGCATTGCCTCCTCCGTACACTTCGCTGGAAGGTTGGATGGCCTGAAAACGCAAATGCAATACTAAAATCAAAGGTAAAGTTGTTATTAGGATTGTTAATTATGTGAGCGTTTACTATTACAAAGATTTGAATTTTTGTTTGTATTGAAATAAGTCAACTTCTGGGCCAATTTTAAAATATCTTTCACCGTTAGAAAGGTAATTTATCTCTGACTAACGTAGGCTACATTTATTTGTTAATTTCAAGAGGACGAAGTAGCGAGCAACAGCTAGTCTATATCTGTACTAGTATTATGAAGAGGAAAGATTAGTATTTTTGTAAGTATTCGATTCACGTAAAAACTACTTCGCCGATCTTAAAAATTCTTTCATCATTAGAAAGGTAATTTATCTATAAGTGACACACGCAATTTTTTTTTTCTTATTTTTCAATACCATACGGGCGAAGTCGCAAGCAACAATGTATGTTAATAATCTCTAAAAAAACGCCGAAACCTTACCCCAGTTAGTAACGTGCGTTAGCTCAACCAAACGAACCCATTCGTTCGTGTAAACATCGCATGTTTATGAACTCAGAATTTTTTATAAGCTTAAATTTCATGTTGCATCTACAAACACGTTATCCTATTTGCATTAAGAAATCTAGGACATCGTTACTTAATAAGCAATTATACATATTAAATATTAGTGCAGTATAGAACTGCCGTACAAAGGTTTTGCATAGTTTAATATTGCAAGGCTTTATAAGAGTTCTAGCTGTTGCTCGCGACTTCGTCCGCGTGAAATAAAAAATAACAAAAAATGTAGCCTATGTTACTTATAGATAAATTGCCTTTCTAATGGTGAAAAAATTTTTAAGACCAGCGAAGTAGTTTTTACGTGAATCGAATACATACAAAAAAAAATGCCCTTTATAAAATTAGTAAAATAGTAAAGAATACAGGTGAATGACACAAATTTAAAATATTCCATATTTATACGTGTAATATGGTTAAAAGAGGGTCAAATACCTTAGAAATCCTTTATGATTTAGTTTTTTTTCTACTTAATGCCGTCTATCGGCCAGCTAGACTATTAGACGGCAACAACCTTATTAATATTAATTTCGAAGAAATTCAAGCATTGACCCGTGACGAAGTTTAATACGCTCGCTTGTTTTATCTCCCTCACACCTATTGGGATAAACAGAGATAGAGATAGTTTGAATCTAAACGAATTACATTTGGTACCATTGCCCTGTCTTATAAAAGTTAACATAATATTGTAATACTGGGAGTGACTCTCTATAACTATAGACGTCTTTTGGTCTATAGTTATAGAGTCACTCCCCATCTTAATAACTCCCTCCTGACGTTGAAAATAACGAAGGGTCCGACCCTATTCCAGACAGAATAGTCTATAGCTTTGTCGAATCAATTCAAGTCAATTGAGGTGTCTGTCGAACTCAAACTTTCGCTTGTGGCTGTACCGACAATACGAGAATATATATTCATCAGTTCTTTAAAGAAACACTTTGTCTGGGGTAACGTTTTATTGAGGAAATATTTGTGAACTATCAATATTATTTTTCTTTTTGCTGTAGTAAGACTGAAATTTAAAACCTGAAAAATCTTTTTTTTTATCTTTAAAATTTTCTTGACAACTTTGTTAAGAGATATTAGTATTTGATTGTTTTTTTTGTTCAATTGTGAACTGCCAAAGTTCACAATTGATCGGTAACCATTAGTACGTTCGTACATCCGGGACGTAGGAGAGGGATGAACCCCAGCCGCCTCCCTCGTTACACATATGTACTTAATTTATAGAATCATGGTGACATAGATTTAGGCCAAGTAAATGAATAAATAAAATCTCAAAATAAGAAGTTAAAAATGTATGTTTTCACTAGAATACTTTGTCCAAAAACTTTCGTCCCTTTCAATAACTTATTTTTGTACTTAAAATCGATACCTATATCTTATTTTGATTCTACAGGAAAATATATTTTACAATTATTGTAATAATGACTGCATGTCTAATTTAACAAATCCTAATGCTGCATTTGCACGGGGCACAAAAAGCCCTGCAGTTACGTGCGAATTGCAATGCTCGGCCTCTCATTATCCCCCGGTATTTCCGCTATTATGGTTAGTCATAGGGTTGTCACTAACAAAATTGAAAAATGTATTAAATATTACAATTCTTAGCTGAAATCGTAGAAAAACCTCTAACAATGTTAAAATATACTTAAAACGCAAAAGAAATCATTATTGCGTTATAAAATAATTGCTGTAAAACCTGATTTGACATAGAATATAAGCGTATGTGAATTTCGTACAAAAATATTTCTTACTAGATTACCTTGAAGGAATACGTCGTGATTGTTCTCACGCGCATTCTAAAAAAACAATTATGATATAATATGGCGTTTATATTAAATTCATAAGAATTAACTGAAGGGCTAGTAATCCATAGATAGTCCTCAAAAATATTTATTGACTTTAGTTTGTTAATACTGGATAGTTCTGCTGCAATTTACTCTAATAAGCAAATTCTCTGACGTATGCATTTGTGGGATCAAACTGCGCAAATTGCGGCCCGCAACCATCCGCAAGCAAGTCACGAACTTGCTACGAACTGCAAGCAACCCGGAGAAGATCCTAGAAAGCAGGGATCATCAATCTATTCTCACTAGGGGCCGCACTAAACTTATGATTCGTAAACAGATTCAGTTGGATTTCCGGACGTCCACATAAAACGATCTTTTTTTTGCTGTTAAAATTCAAGGTTCTTTTAGAGCAGGCGCACACCTTTGACTAAACTATCGCACAACATTGTGCGATTGTCGATTCCTTTGCAGCGAATACAACTGTTAAGTTACACTACTAAAAATCGAGTAGTAGGCGAACCTCCATATAAGCTCATAAGAATCAAAGCGAGACTAAACAGTTATGCGATAGTTTAATCGCAGGTGTGCGCGCGTTCTTATTCTATTATTAAAATGGCTATACTTAAGTTAATGAACAGTTACTAAGTTAAAAATCGATACGGTTGATTGTCCTAGCTTGGGCTACACACCCAAATATAACCTCATTTTCACACCCACACAATTTAATAAGCTACGAACTGAGGCCCGTAAACATATAACAAAGTTTTTTATTCTGTTCAATAAAACGTATTCATTATTAAAACTGGGGAAATATCAAAAACAAATGAAATATAACAAAAAACGCTTCGAAGTTAAAAGGGAATCTGTATTCGAGTCACTTCCAGCAATTACACAGAAACTTCGAGAACACATAGTAACAACAATTGTACTATTGTACAATATCCGTATGTTTTCAACATCCTAATTATTTGGTTCAAACAACATTACTATTAAACATTTTTTAAATAGACTAAAGATGGGCCATATTCAATACTAATAAGAAAATATATGAAATATTACTCTTAAAAAATAATACTAACACGTATAATTAGACAGCAAATCAGACATGTTTTTAATATATGGAGTAAATATTATTTCGATATTTTATTTATAAAATATATGTCTGCTCATCACACAGTTAATCATTTAAGTTTGTATATAAATAATAGACAGTCATACCATCAGTACCACTTTTATATTCTACAGAACCCTTTATTTTCATAGAATACAACTATTTCCAAAAACACTACAACTATTTTCAACAACACTACAACTGTTTTCAGCATCACTACAACTATTTTCAAAAACACTACAACTATTTTCAACATCACTACAACTATTTTCAACAACACTACAAGTGTTTTGAACATCACTACAACTGTTTTCAACACAACAACTATTTCTGTTAAACTTTAAAAAACCAATAAAGATCTTATGATACTTTTGGTTAATGACAAAGTCCCTATTAAGTCTTCTTTAGTTTCGTTATTCTCCCCTAGCTGTTGCTCGCGACTTCGTCCACGTGAAATTTAAAAGTAGCCTATGTTACTCAGCGATAACGTAAATTTATAACAGTGGAAGAATTTTTGAAATCGGCCCAGTACTTTTTGATTTATTTAAATACATACGAAAATATAAATCTTTCCTCTTCATTAGGATTATAGATTGGACAGCTTAGTTTGTCGTCTATACGATTTATAAAAAAACTCACCTGTCATGTTGTATGAGGGCAATAGAACTTGCGACTAAATCTTCAAACTGCTTCTCACTGGCGGAGCTACCCTGTCGTTTGTGATGATGTGGGGTGTTAGCCGCCGACGAGACAGGGGTCAATGACTTTTGACTCTCCGAGCTGGTCTTAACTGACAAGTTGTTGGTGGACTTGCTGCCGAAGAGACGCCAAGTAACACCAGTGGTGGTTGATTCTTGAGTCTTTGATGAACTGCTTTTCCATGGGAAGACTCCTCTGTAATAGAAAAAAACATTTAGATTTTTTATTTTACACAGTCAAAGTTAAGTGCCATATTAAAAGGTCTCAAAGATAGACCGTTTGGCCTTCGAAATAAACCCTAAGGTTCTGCTTAAACGGCAATTAAAATACTAAAAGTGCAAAGTGTTTAATTTACACATTCAAAACGATCATCTCATAGTTTTAGTCAATTTAAAACCAAAATAAACCAACGCTACAAAACTAAATAAAGAAGTTTATTTCGGCCATGTTGTAATCATCAACAACCAAAGTTCAACAAATATACAAACGCTGTGTAAACATCAACACAGAATCCAAATCAACCTAACTATTAATATCCCGGACTCGAAACATTGGCACAAGAATACAAGAATACGTGAACACAACGCTGTATGAATACTATATTCTTATTAACGAAGAATACTTTAAAAGTATACATACTTTGATAGCATACAAATGTAAGTCTGTTACATTATTAATCTCATTCGACGTGTGCGTTTAAATATAACTCAAGGTTCCGTATATTTGTAGACCACTCAATAACGTCTAGGAGGTAAATTATATTACATTTAATCAATATCAAACAATACTAATATAATAAAGCGTAAACACACATTACTTCGTGGCGGAGGAGGCAATCACAGCATATTGATGAATAATTATTTCTTTAATAAAAAGCCCTATACTTACGACGCGCTTTAGGCTATATATTTTCACGATATTAAACTATCGTTTGTTTGAATACAAGCTATTCAAGTCCTTGTCATTTATTATTGTCTTGAAAGATCAGACAGCATCAAACACACAGCTGATTATCGTCAAATAAAGGCGTGGTACAATTTTGATTAACATTGATTGTAAAACTTAAACAGATTCTCTAACCAGGAAACTATGTTCTTAAAATAGCAATCGCTGGTATACAAGTGTAATCATTGTTAACTTAGCGTGGGTGGAAATCGTCGAGATATGATTGCTAAGGACGCGTAGGTTGCGCAGGATACCGTTTTAAACGACTGTTATTGAAATATAACAGTAACCAGTAAGGTCTCTTATTGCTTGCAACTCGTGAACGACCTAGACTCCTATACTGATATTACAAAGATTTGTATTTTTGTACGGTTTGAAATAACTCTGTAAAACTACTGGGCAGATTTCAAAATTTTCACCATTAAAAAGCTACGTTATCAGTGAGTAATATAGGCTGTTTATTTATTTTACGCGGGCGATGTCGGGAGCAAGAGGTAGTTATAATAAAGTTATAAAGAACATGGTCACATTGAGGTAGGGATACTCAACCAAGCATGAGGACCAATAAATCACTGCAATCCAGCAGATGCAACAAGGAGAGGAATATAAGCTTTTTGTTACCTTTATCGAAAAAATAATTTTCTCTTTATGAAAAAACTAACCACAATACAGTACTAAATTAGGTTCTTAAAACTCAAAAACTACTAAACTGCTTTGAAAAACGCTTTAAATATGTCGACTTTCAGTGTTACAACTATAAAATATTTACCAAAATGAGTAAATTTTAAGGAAATGAACCAGTATAGATTGTATGAGGTCGCATCGCGTAGGTGTGTGACATTTGAACATCACAATTGGAGTCGACCTTTATAATTATCGGCCACGCAAGGCTTTACATCTGTTCTTGTAGACAATGTACATTATTGGCTTTCGCGGCCAAATTCATTTACTTTTGCACAAGGAAACACCTTAGTCGAAAAATTATAATAACATATGATTAAATTGATACTGTAAAACTCGGACAACACTAGAAAATCGGCACAGATGTCCCGTCCCTATCTGACAGCTGTCAACGTCATTTAGACGTCTTGGAATAGCGCGCCATTCTGGCGGGAATCAGATCTCTAGTTGTTAAAGTTAATTAGGTAGATACAATTAAAATCATCTCTAATAATACAAAGTCACATTTTCATATTTTCAAAAATTGTTTACATAATAATAAATCTCTAATGTAACATAAAGAATAACATTGAATTGGTCATCCTTTTTTGTTCGACACATCAATTAAACATTCGACAAGCAATATTCTACTTTATTTCCTTAGCACTAAATGTCACAATCGTATACCATCAAGTTCGCAAACTGTCGACCAAGGGCGAATTTATAATTTATTTTAGTGACGTGAAGTTATGCAGCTATTGTGAGGTATGTTTATATATATATGTATGTATTTGTTATATTCGTACTATTCATTAGGTATAGTAGTTGCACTAACATACAAAATAACATGGTTTTATATGAAAAAATGGGTACTAGCAGAAAAATTAAATTAATCTTACTTCTTACTAATATCTTAAATGCGAGTTTAAATGAATGGAGTCGCAGGCGAAAGCTAGTATATGCTATAATTATAGTAGTCCATTTAACTTACTTTGGTAGAATATTCCGGATTTTACCAACTTTAATCAACTACGTAACATAGAGATAACCCGAGAAACATTTACTTTTGTTACGTTTACAGTAGAGAATAAAGTTTGTTTGGATAATATTTGGTACACTCTTTATTTTCAACTAACCAAAAGCTACCAGTGCTACCAATCGTATGTAAACAATTGATATGAGAGCAAGTAATTGAGATGTAGCATATAAATTATTTGAACGTTGGTACATAACACAGTATTAGTACGTGAATGGCCGGCGCCTGGCACCGCACGGTACCACACCGCCCAGTCTCGCATGACCTATCAACTATGCTGCATCTCATACTAATATTTAATTCATATCTATCACTAGCTGTTACTCGCGACTTCGTCTGCGTGAAATTAAAAAAAAGTATTAAAAGATATAGCCTATGGCACTCACTGATAACGTAGCTTTTTAATGGAGAACGATTTTTTGAAATCGGCCCAGTAGCTTTTGAATTATTTTAATACGTACAAAAACACAAATATTTCCTCTTTAAAATAGTAGTATAGATGTAGAGAGAAAAAATTGTTCGTTAGTACGTTAGAGTACCTTGGTGACATATTTTTTTCGCAATTAAAAAATATGTTTTCAAGAGAAACAGTATATTTTAAGATGTACAGATACTTTTTCCCGCGCGGAATTAAAAACAAAAGTGAGTATTGTATGTTTTCTCCCAGACTATCCTTTACATCAATGCCATTCATCCAGTTTAGGGTACAAACTATAACAAACATCCATAGATCTAAACTTTCGCATTTATAATATTAGCAAGAAGTAAGATTTCTATCTGAGATATTCTCTGTTTTCTAGTCAATTAACATACACGGCTTTTTTACTCTATGTGCATTTAGTCTATGTAATCTCAAGTATATTACACTGTCGACATAAAACCTAGAGCACTAAAGGTCAGCTGATCTCGGAGCATCAACAAAAAGAGCGGTGCCGAGCCGCGCATGGTACGCCCCACCTGTTGAGGAATTCTACACATAAACATACAACTGTGTTTTATAGCCGATGTACAAATATATAGTTTCACTTGTTAGTAATGTTCAATTTAATAGCACTTTTAACATAGATATATATTGCAACGCTAGATACGTTACTCTAAAAGGGTACTCTCGTCTATGATATAAAATTCTGACTATGGTTTGCTTTTCTGGAGTACAATGGCAGTTATAACTCATAATTATAATATAAAAGTCGGATCTATATTTAAAGATGTAACTAAGTAAAACTCTACATCACAAAAACAATAAAATAGCGTTAAAAACCCGCAATTAAACGATAACCATCTAATAGCGGCAAATAACACGGAGGAGATCCTAATTACATCGATTACAGCTTTAAAACAAGCAAACAAATAAGAACTTTAAATAAATTTAGAAACGTTTCTACTCAGAAGGTAAGCCCTGGACAGTCCTCTGTAATAGGTTTAACTTCTAACTCCGCTACTCGTTATGTAAAACCACAATCTAAATCCACCTTCAACTGTCACATTATCAAAACAAAACCAATTTTTTTTTTTTTTTTTATAACAAGGTGGCAAACGAGCAAGCGGCCATCTGAAACCGCCAAATAAGCGAAGCGACCGCTGCCCATAGACATCCGCAATTGCAGATGCGTTGCCTACCCTTATACGACGGAGGAGGAGACGCACATAAAGAGGATATTTCCCCTTCCTATGCATCTCCTCCACCTCCATATCAATTATTTAACAACTATTACTTTGTTGACATCTGCATATAAAACGTTATAAAACCCGCGAATCCACAAGACATCCGCTGTGTTGAGAAAGCAGAATGACGTCACGTCCACGACATTGGTACGGTTTCCAATGCATTATGAAAGTCTCCGGTCCGGCTATGATGTCAGATTTGTAATAGAGATATCATTTAAACGTCTCGCATTATAAATATCGTAAGAATAAGATTATTGTTGTAAAAGTGATGGAGATCGGAAACATATTGTTTATTTTTAATTCCTTGTAAAAGGCCTAATAGACTTATGTACCTCTGCGTCTGCGACATACCTTATTAACGGTCGGCGTTAGTGTATGGCGCGGTTGATCCATCGCCCAGAGCGCTGGACAGAACGGGTCATGCCAGATTTGCTAATTACACAATCTCAAATAACTCTTTAGCATAACTCACCACAAACTTACGATGGCTCCAAACTCTTAGTGGGGGCGTAGTAGTAATGATAGTGTCGTAACCCTGTTTACTCCTTCCCTCTTAAGTGCTAAAAAAGAGGTGCCGTAGAATAACAACGCAGGGCGCTAGTACCGCTAAGATCAGTACAATCGTAATGTTAATTTCTTAGTTTTTATCGTGATTTCTAGGTTATCATGCCTAGGCTGTACAGCTACCGTGGGTAAGTTATTGTTTAAGAGTTCATTGACCTATTGCCGTTAACAAGGTAAAGCAAATTATTCGCTTTATTTAACAAATTACCTAATGCAATTTGTAATCGTGTCGGGTAAAAGGCGGAAAAGAAAATGCTCTTTGGAAATAATTTAAATATTAACAAAGTTGAATAAGATGTTACCAAAAGAATTAAAGAATCTG